AAGCAGCTTCGAAGCTGTCTTACATTTTACCGCAAAACAAAGTAATCGTAATAAAATCATAGTATTTAGTTTTGAAGCCATACGGATGCATTTTGCAGAATATATAATTTATTGTTTTACGAGATTACTGTAAAAAAATTTGGTACAAAATATAACCACCGAAGTAGGTGATTTATTTTAGGTGAAAAATTAGAACTTGAAAATTATAAGTCCAAAAGGAAAGATATATAATTAATAATCAAATATTTTTATCTCATTTTATTCACTACTTAAAGAATTCTAAAATATAAATTTACCATTCAAGAATTACCATTCGCGCTTAAATGTAATTAAATTTTAGCTAATACAGTTTTGTGGTTGACGTTAATTTTACAATGCTTTCCAAGATTGAGTTCTTTATAATAAGTATAAGTTATTAACCAAATATTACTGTAACTATATATCTAATGTTAATAGTAATTAATTTTAAAAATCACACTTTAAACTGAAATTGTAAAAATTAATGCGTTTTATTAAACTGCTTTGTTATACTTTGTTTCAGCATAATTTATCGTTATATTGCACTTCACGATATGAAAGTTGAATCACTGTGGTTATTATTGTAAGCATTACAAGATATATGAATGAATATAGTACATATTTGTGGGATTAGTAATTTCTCCTTTGCTTTCAAAGTTTAAGTTAATATTACCATTGATAACAAATTATTGTAATTAACCATAATTAAACTATATTAGTTAATATTTCACTGACAGCTAAATTTTTAATTGACTATAAACTAGTCCATTAGTTACTATGATTAAATTATTATAACTAAATTATAGGTTATAAATACATGATTTGAAATTAACATTAATCTAAATTACATATTCCTTTTTCTGTATGTGATTTTCTACTCTAAGGCATGTAATGCTGTGTACATAATACTATCACAAAAAACTACATAACATTAGGCTAATATTATCTAATAATTAATAGTAACATATTTAGTAAATTCTCAACTTTGTCTCATTAAAATAATTATTAAAGTCTCAGTGAAGTAATTATAATTAAAAATGTTTGCAATTTAAAATATTAACAAGTGTTCAGAGTATTTGTTTTCAAGTGTGTTGCTTTCTATTTGTCATGAAAAAAAATCGAACTACGCTGTGGAATATAAAAAAGGAAACACTATCGTCTTACAGAAAGCCTCCGATAAGAAGCATTTAACTTGAAACATTATTAATGCGTTCTGCAAGATAGTTAACGTTTTTCTGGATGAATGATTACTTAGATAACTGTAATTATATGCTAATTAATTAAACACTTTCTCCTATCGTATGAAAAACCGGTATGTAATAATTTTTGTCGATACTAAGGCATTAATATATTAATAATCGACAAGACTATATGTAATAATCGAAAAAAGCAGTACATATATGTTTTATTATAATATTTAACAAGCATTACACTTTTAATTAGGAAGCATTTACGTATATAATTTCATTTAAATATTGTTACACCACAATTGAAGACGTGAGGAAGTTTCGGTATGGCGGATTATCGTTATAAAATTCGTTAGTCACATTTGACCGTCAGAAAGGTGCCGAACTCACACTGGCACGTCATAAACCCTCTTGGACAGAACCACCGTCACAACAACGACGAACATGCATTGTCTAACCCAAGGGCACCGAACGCACGCGGTTTGTAACCACGACCAGGCAAATGGCTTTCCAATAATTTTACATACCTCGAGAGTCGAACACCACAGGCGTTAGGTCCAACCGAAGGGAACCTTCCGGCCATACAATTGTACCGTTTTTCCCACATCCGTATTTTTTAACAATTTCCTTCTCCTAGAAAGCGTCGTACCAGATACACACCTAACCTCAAACGCACACCAACAGAAAAGCATGACACCCACTACAAACACGCGGTGACTGACCAATCACGAGGAACCCATGTTAATAAAAGCACAAACGTAGTCACTAACACGAGATTTTTCAGAAAAATACGAATAACGGTAGACTTGTACATAGAACGCGATAGTATTGTATCACATCACGAGAGAACATGGAACATACTACGTTTCAACAAGGCTTGCGTGATTAATTTGACAAAAGGCAGCGTCTCGATATATCGCCGTGAACAAGTGTAAACGGGATTTACGACCCCGCGAAATTCAAACGAATTGCGGTGTACGGGACGCAACAAATACCATGAATCAAAAGTGAAAAGAACGAAAGAAAATGAGAAATTTAGAAACAAATAATTTAATTACACGATAAGTTGAATTACTATCCGTTTCATTTTATTTTCTTACGAAACGTGCAACAGTTATACACTATTTATTAACGGTATTTATATACCACGTGTATTAATTTTATTCTCAACGCAAAAAAAGAAGTTTTGTGATTTAAATTTCCGATTAAATTACACACTGTGATTAATTCCACTATTTATTACATACACTGGAAGTAGTATAATTTAGAAGAAAAAATTATGTTCCATATTTTATCATTGAAAGTCAGGTATAACGCGAACAACAGTTAATCGCATGTTTAGCTCGTTCACGTACAAAAATACAAGCTCACATAACTGTAGCTATATGTATATAGAAAAAAAATTAGAAATACAATTTGGATTTATTATTTCGATCTTATTAAATGCGTCATGCGGCTCGCGCATGCGCATACACACTTCATAAAAATATTTCCTATAAAAGTTGCATAGTTTTATCGAGGTCATTATTTAGTAATAATAGTTTTATTTCGTTGGAAGGGATTAATGAAATGTAACGGTCAACTTTGTTTTTGATAGCCTCTTTAAAAACAATCTCAACGACTCGATACATAATATAAACAACTATACTAATTAATATTTGAATGATATACTCGAACTACTATTTGTTCGTACTATTTGTTTAAAATTAGTACAATTTTTTTCAAATTGTAAGCAGTGTTCTGTAAAATATTAGAAAGTTCTTAGAATAGATAGCACTGTTAGTGAAACAAGATATGAATGATGAAAAATGATTCAGTAAATAACATTTCATTCAATGGTTAAAATTATTTTTAATTCATAAACTGTACAATAAAATATAATATCGTATGAATAAATCATTGGTTAATGAATACTATAGAATGCATTCATGATACGAAAATCGTCGCAATTATTGATATTAAAGAACCAGATTACAGAGGTTAAATGCTATGACGAAGAAGAGGTTAGATACACGAAAGAAGGAGCAACGAAGACAGCGAATCAAATGACCACGAGTTAATGCGAGCCGTAAAGGCACCTCTTTGTTTACGATATATTCGTAGTTACCGCGATGGTCGTCTCGATGCACAATCGAATCTTATTTGGTGAGAGCCGCTTCTACGTAGGCGTTATTTTGTGCTCTTTCTCATCGTCACGCCTCTCTTCCACGCTGCATGAATTCTTGCTCTCGACCTTTCGACATTTCCTTCCAGAGAAAAATTAGTAACCCTTGAGCAGACAGTCAACCGTTGTGTCAAAAAATTATAACTCTTTTCAAAAATCTAACAGCCAAGTCTACTTTACGAATATTTCATAATTTTGCGTTTCACTGTTTATTTATTTTTTCTTTGCTTTACTATTTAAAGCAAAGTACATAGAAAAGTTTTTACCAAATAAAAATATAAGAAATAAAATAGATTTAAACGTTGTTACAGTCAAAAGTCGAAATAAAACGAATATAGATAGATATGCAATGCAGATAGATATCGATATTGCAGATAAACCCACCCAAGTTAAGGTATTAGCAGCTATATGTTACAGACCTCACGTGTTGATACCAATCAGCTTGTTACTTACATTACACCTTAGGGATAGTAAAGATAAGACCACTCGTACGTACCTTGACGTACGTATAGGGTTAAAAAGCACGTCAAACTCACCATTGTCGAATATATTTCCAAATCTGTTGATATTTAGTTCGAATTATTTTTTATCCAGCGATCGTATCTGTTAATCATATATTCGCAAGACGGATTTCAGATTTTTATTATCATAAAACGAATCATTCGACAATCGTTGAGTTATGTGATTTACGATCGATTAAAGTAATTCGATTAATATCCTATTACTGTTGGCGTTCACGCATGTCCAGGCAAATGGAACCTGTACAACACTTCAAAAGACAGCTTTGTAAACGTCGTTTGTATGCACGTCGATGCACATTTCTCTGAAATAGCGTATTCATCAATGTACACTTTAAAGAAGAGAGACAATGTTACCTTAAGAAATAAAAGAAAAACAAATATGAACGTTTTTAAAAAATCGCTGCATCTGTATGAACATAAGATGCGTATCTACAGTATAATGAATTTAATGTGGTAGGAAAATATACTAAAACCAATGAAATTTGGGGGAAAAAATTGTTACAAATAATTTTATATTTTTAAAGGGTATTTACGCACTTCCACCTTAATTTAATAAACCAAATTTTATAACGATACAGCCAAAACAACAAATTTTGCAGTCGTGAGTTAAAAATATTACTAAAAATAAGATTTACACTAGATCGTCGGCAATGGCAACATCGTCTCTCTATTCGATTCTAAGAATCTAACACTATCTGTGCCAGTACTGAGTTTCACGATTCTGTTAGAACACGCCGAAATCCCATATTTATAACAAAAAATGTAACGTTTTTGTAAAGTAACTGAAGTGTATGTAGACTTCTGTGAACTGTACGTTTACGTTTTTTCAATTTCTTCTGAAAATACATCCATATATTAAGCAAGTTCGAGGTTATTATGTGTCGCTATGTAAACATAAACGATTCTGTAACAATGTGCATCCTCAGTTTCTTTTGATAAGTCGGATATACGAAATTCAATACATAGATGTATGTAGACTCTCGTGAATGACTGTACATCAAAGAAAGATTCCTCTAAAATGAACCGTTGCATCTAATTCATGGACATATGCCGGATGTATGCATTAGGGTCGAGAGGAATCCGGAGAAGCAGAAACAATGTTTTACTCACCAGCACTTTAGTGAAACGCCTCTCGAGCTCCGCAGCGTCAGGCATTGGTTGCCTTGGCGCGCCACGGACGCTGCCACTCCGTGCGTGCGGTCCACCCAAACTTCCCATGCCGAGGCTAGGTTGACAGGATTGATGAGGCGCGCCGCCCTTGACACCACCGATGAACACTTCGCGCACACCGCCATCGCTTTCGCCGGCACGGCTCTGCACGATTCCCATTGTTTCACTAGTGGCTATTGTATCCTGCGCTCTTTTCGCACACGAAAATAGTGACGCACGGCAGCAGTAGCGGCCAGCACTGTCACACCACGAGAAACGTCAATAATGACGATCGCGACAGTTCATCTTTACAGGAATATAAATCACTTTTCTATTAAGACAAAAGTCGATAAGCAAATGACTGGAACCGGTCCGCACCGGGCCGTGCAACAGGTACCAAGCCGTCCATTGCGGACACAAAGTCTCACGAACGTGCGCGAACCAGAGCACGATCTAAACTCCTATATCTACACTTGTCGAAGCGTTCGCTGCATCTGTGGTATCTTCGCTACTCTCTGACCAGCACCAGCGCCATTACACATGCGTGGTAAGTGTCTCGTTTTAGCGCCCCCTGTATCAATGTGATTCCTTTAAAGTATGATTACGTTATATAAAGTTGGTAGCCATGAAATTGTTGATCATTTCGACAGAGATGGAAGCACGTACTGCAATGGCGGTTAAGGGAACTAGGACGCCATCTAAGAGAAAATTTTAGAAAAGAAATCTTGGTTAATGCTAGCCATTTGTTAAGCTTGTTACATCCGTTGCATACATATGCATGCGTATAAGATTCAGAAAATAACCAAAAGCGTGCAATGACTTGTATAAATGTTATTTGAGCTAGTTTTTAATTTTTATGTATTATCAAATCCCGATAGGTTTTTCAGTTAGTACACAAAAAGGACTATAGAAATTTTACAAAAGTACAGCAGAATTAAATTTATATTTCAATAAACCAACGAGTATTAATGACAATATAGATACTGTAATCATTTACCGAATACAAAATACAATATAAATAACGTTTAAAGTAGAAATAACATTCAAAGTAGAAACGTAAAAGAAATTGAAATGTCAAACAACTTACGATATATTTTCATTTATAATATACACATTTTTGCTATTGGTTGTTCTTATGATAATAATTAAAATTTAATTACTGTATTTTCATAACACATGTTACAAAATATTAATTTCGTGTTTCAAAATAAAAATATTTTTAATATTATTTAAATAGATTCTTTAATTTGAACACAATTATATATATTCAAAAGTAAACTTTTGCTTAAACGTAATTTATTTCTTTACTAATATCTTACTACATTTAATCGAATAAAGAATATCTGAATGTGCGCAGTGTAATCTGTATATGAAATTATTGCTCTTAAAAATATTGCAAAAATAATTTGCACGAAGCAAATACGAATATAAAATAATAAAGTAATAGAATAGACTTTTCTGATAATATATTTGCAAATATAAAAAAATATTAACAGCAAAGTATCAGATCAGTAATAATTTTAAATAAAATTAACAACGTATATGCATTACATTTAAAACTATCGATAGATTGATGTACAAAGGACGCCATTTTTTCGAGATATCGATTGGTCGTTTAGCGTCATAAGATAAATAGCATGGCGTCGTTTTAGTGTATCGTTTTCTAAAAAACATTACTTGTAAATATTTGTAGATTCTATGAAACAACATTAGTGTAAAGAACAATTTCAAGATGAAAAAGTCTCCTTTAAGTACGCCAAGTGGTAGCAGAGGAAAGCAAAATTACAACTGGAAGGTACACGATCATAAAAATGCGACAGGTTATAATTATGTTAACAGTGATAGTTATCAATGTTCTTCACCAAATGGTGGTCAAACACAGCTTGGGAATGACTTTATTCCTTTAAATGTTAGTACGCCATTGCCAGAACAAAAAAGGTACAGTGGTAATAATTGGCATGGTTCTGGCTGTCGTAGTCATCGTAATTCAGGTAGTGGTGGATTTAACCATTACAGAAACAATTATCATGCAACCCCAAAATCAAATTTGAATAATTCGTACTCTCCTTATAAGCACCATGGTAAACAGTTTTATGGTCAAAAGAAGGTAATTTTAATTAATATTTATAAATTATTTGTGTGATCATTGAACTATAATATGAAAAGATATTGAATATATTCTTTTACATTTAGGGATACCAAAAGGATGTACGCAAACATGTTGACATATCAAATTATGTAGATATGAAATCGTTCTTGGAAGATCCTTGGGCAGAATTAACAAAAAAGTTAAATAAATCAAAAGAAACAAAAGGGAGTAAATCCTTTAAAATTGAACAATCGGTTCCATCACAATTGATTTATATAGACTCAAAATCTAGTTCAGAAAGTAAATCTAGAGCAAATGATGATTCTCAATTTAGTTCAGAATCTAGAAATGAAACTTCTGTAGATGTAACATTGGGGTTGGATGATACTGATATTAGTGATCTATCAAGAACAAAAAGCTCAATAGATTTAAAACTTGACAATGTCAGATTCAGTGAGGAATCAAAAAATATCAGCATTTGCAGTAATAATGACAGTGCTTGTAAAGACACTCATGATGAAAATATTCGTCATTCTTGTACTTCAAAGGCAGATATAATTCAAGATCTTATATAATAGTGACCATCAACAAAGTGCACTTTGAAGGGGAATAATTATTTACTAATCCAGTGCACAATACATTATATATTGTACATATGAACATTCATTGTATATAAGTATTGCAAAATCCACGAAACACTTGTTTCAGATTTTTGAAACAATATTCTAGTATATGGATAAAGAATTAACGAAGTTTTTAGCAATGCGGTTTTCCGTTTTGAAGGTAGCTTTGTTGCAGAAGTATACCAATACATGTGCAAGATATAATGTATGAAAACTACCTTTCAAATCATATTTTCACATAAAGGCTGTGAAAAAAAATGAACGTAGTTTACATGAAAGAAATTATACATGTGCAATTCTTTAATATGTACCAAAGGAAAAGTACATAATCAGGATATGAGGGAACATTAAACACCAATTTCTCACCTATAGACTAAGTCGATAAGAGTTGTTAAAAAGATAGCGAAAATGCTATAGTATGAATTAAATTCGTAAATTCATTTTAAATTTGCTTAATCTAAGCAATTAGTAATTGTGTGAGAGATTTATATCTTTAAACATTGTTGAACATCCACCATTGATTGATTTTAGTCTGTTAATATATGTCTATATACACTTCTTCTTACAACAGCATAGAAATATATGAAGAATTAATGGTGTATATTGTGACATGATATAGATAAATATATTATAACATACACAAATGTGGAATTAAAGAATCATTAATCATGTGCAAACATATGACTTTAATTTTAAATTTTTAGTTAATTATATCAATTTTTACATACATATTATTTCTAATTTAAATCATAATGAATTGTATATTTTTACTAAAATTTTTTAAATAATAAACTCATTCTCTACATTGAAAGGAATGTAGATATATGTAACATTAAACATTTGTAAAACTGGAATAACAAAATAGTAGGGTACTAAATTTGTACAATTGTTATCTTAGAAATAATATTACACTAAAAATTGCTTATTTCCAATCTTTACACACTTTTATAGCATGTTTTAGTGAGCGATGGACTGTAGAAAATGATAAAAGTGTCCTACATGTTCGATTAACATGCTAACTCAATGTACAAATGACGCTCTGGTACAAAACTTTACATAATTTAAGAAATTCAGTTTTATTTCGAAATTGCGATTTTACGTGATCGTGGAAAACACATAATTGATGTCTAAAACAGTAACTGTATGAGCAATCTGTACAAGAAGAAATTATATATAAATATACGTAAACTATGATAATATTCACTTTAATTCTATATATTCTATACTTCTTACATATTCTTTTTTTACATTTTTATTCCCATTGTTTGTTCAAACGTAGAAACGAATTGACTTTATCAATAATTTGTACTTTTACTTTAAAGTATTTTATTTTGCACGATTTTTCATAAGTGTCATTTGTTTATAATAAATTATAAAAACTAAGTACGAGGACAAAAGAAATGGCCTTAGATCTCTAACCTTGCGTTTCTAAAGGTAATGATGTAATACAGTGGCAAGATCGGGGAGGTGTGTGAATAATTGATCGGCTATCGAAGTAATCAATATGAGCTATGTATTCCTTGGCATTGAAGTTTTTGCTTCGCTCTTGAAAGTTTACTTTTGATGCTGTTGTGTAACAAAACTTATTATACTTATAAAAATCAATCACAAGCTTTTTATTTGTTTGGTAGTTCCTTTTTTTTCATACTTCACCTAAATCTTTAAATGTTATAACATAAAACGTAGTTTGATCACAAATATTTTGTTTGATTCTACACAGTGATAAAAGCGTGTACTTTTTAAATATTAAATTGTTTAAATTTACATATTTCATAGATTATTTAGGTATCAATACAACAAAGATAAACAATGAAATTAAAAAAAATTTTAATGATAATAATAGTCGAAGGCGTTCATTGATTGACTATAGTTAAATACTGATTTGACTACAGTACATTGACTATACCGAAAGACAGATACTACTTTCTCTGAAATTAAAATAGTAATTATGGAAAAATTGTTGTGCAATATA